TTAATAACTTGATGCCACTGTGATTTTTAAAAGGAGTAATTGAGCCAACACAATTATTTGTATTATTCTTTGTTTGGTAAGAAGAGATAAATAGGTAATTCACACATATGTGCTTGGTGTTTTTAAATGAGATTTGTAAAGTTAGCTTTTAAAACATTTGTAATTTTTTAGCCAAACTTGTTAATTCAATGCCCACTATAACAAAGGCTATATGACGTGAGTATGAGCTTGTGCTCTCCATGGCTGCCTAGTAAAATGTGATACTTAAATTGAGGTGTGGGTAAGATAATATCTGTTATTTTTGTTAATACCTAGATAATTCCAGGCTTACAGAAAAGTTGCAAATATAACACAGAAAATTCCAATTTCTTTGGAATTCTTTCTTTGGAATAGCCTTTATCCGATTTCTCTATGTGTAACTATTTTACCACATTTACTGTATCACCTTGTCATTTTCTCTTTCTCTTTCGGTATCTCCATCTCTTTGTCTCTTTGTTCTCTGTGTGTGTGTGTCTGTCTATTTTTCCCTTCCTCTTTATGTGTATGTATATACACTTTTTTCCCTTAATCTTTTGGAAGTAGCAGATATGATGCTCCTTTACTCCTTGAATACTTCATTGTGTATTTACAAAATCACGAACATTCACTTATTAACATTAGCAAAATCAGTAAACTAAAATGACAGACCTTAACATATCACGTTATACCACCAACATCTTTTACAATGGAAAATAAAAACAAAAACAAAATCTGGTCTAGGATCTAGGCCAGGATACTTCTTTATGTTTAGTTGTCATGCATTGGGATAATTTTCATGAAACTTATTAGCTCTGTCTTGGACGGTCATGATAGTCTTTCACTCAGCATCTCATACAAGTCTACGTCTTTACCTGCTTATTTTGTTGTCTCTCCCCTAGGGAACTGATAAACTCTTGAATTCAGAACTGTGTTTTCTAATTTCATTATCATTCTCTTCATATGCCTTTTACCTGTTCTATAAGAACTATTTTATACAGTACTATTTTATGTTTATTTTATAGTTAGTATTTCATAATGATTATTTCACATATTGCAATATCTTTAAATATGAGAGACCAGAATGTCAAAAAAATTATACCAAAAAGTGTCTGTAGCAATTTAAAACTTGAATGGAATAATATTCTCCTAAAATACGATTTCAATAATAAATAATTCTTTCCAGGAGTGTTTTTTAAAATAATCTTTAAATTAAATAAAATTTAATTCAAACTTTTTTCCTGTGTGTTAATCATAATATAAAACAACTACTTGTACCTCTGCCTCTGTGGTAAAACTTTTAATGTTCTTGAAGACTGTTTTTATTTAGTCATCTCTTAGTTTTCATCTCTTTGTTTTATACTGGATACAAAAGAGATCAGATCTTCATTTGCTGTGTATAAAAAATATATATTTTACTGATGTGATTTTTTACCTTAATATATTGATCTCCAGAAATAATCAATACTTGAGCTACAATTCAACAACTCAAGAATTTAATTTTACGAAGACAGTCAATAACTTTCACCTAGCTTCATTTTCCTTTCCCCAAATGAAGTACTGCTCCTCAGCTGCTATCAGTGCCAACCAAAAATGTGTCAGTGAAGCAATTGTCCATACAGATACGATAACATGAACTTTGTCAGTTTCCCAAACACAGATAATTTTAACATCAGAAATGGTTTATTTTAGCTGTTAGGCCACTTTAGAATTAAGAACAATTTTTTCCTTGACCTGCCTTAATTTCTATCAGTTGTGAATATTTAGAACAACAGCATTCCAAACATAATAGCAGATTTTCAACAAATGTTAGTTCTTTTGCTTTCTGTCTCTCTTCTGCTGTTCTTTAATTAGACATTTGTATCAGCTTAAATATAATACGCTAATTTTAAAACTTTGTAGTCAGAAACACACACACACACTCACCAGCTTATAATGGATGAATTTTCATTTTGTGCTCTGGTATACTTGCAAATAGCATAAACTTTGGCTCTGAACGCATTACATATGAGAGATTTCTCACTGCACATGCTATACTAGTATTGGTTGTGAGCAGAGCCAAGTCCTCATTCCCTTTTCACCTCTTACAATCCTAAAGTAGATTATGGAAATTATAAAATAAACTGGAACTGATTTATCCTATGTAGTTAGTGAAACTAAAATAAATTGAAATATTAAATAGTGCTTTATATGTAATGTGTTCTGTCAGGCTCTTCAGTATATGGAAGTGTCAGTCAATATTTTGGTCCTGTATTAAACCCTGTCTTAGGCACCAAGCCATTAGAAAGCTAAGTAATTATTAACACCACCAGTCTCCATTATCATTACATAAATTACTGGTCTGCAACAATTTTGTTACCCCATGGTTCTTATTGTGAGTGGATTTTACTGAATCATTGGAGTATGGGGTCAAGTTAGTGTGGTATCCTTAAAGTTGATAAGAACTCTGAAAGAATAGAAAATGTGTGTTTTAATTGATAATGCAGTTTGGGTATTTTTTATTAGTGTGCAAAGATAAGCCTGATTAAATGCCCTTTAGCCTGTTTTTTTTTTTCTTACAAGGGTATGTGAAATACTGAATACACAGTTTGTGCATTAACCACAGAACATATTGTACAGTACATGCTTTATTCATCTTTTGAAACCAAATTTAGTTGGGCCAAAATTTTCCATAATATCCAATTTTGAAATAATGTACAGTAAATGGAATTCCAGTTTTAAAAACAAAAAACTTTTAAAGACTAGAATTCATGTTTAAAATGAGATAGATGTTTACTTAAGCTAGACAGATCAATTCGGTGATGCTTTTGGTTGAGTTATTTACACCATTAGAAGAAGAGGTAAGCTTACCAGCACTTATAATTTATTCATATATAGGCATGTAGTATTCTATACTCAGCAATCATTTATTGAAGTTACTCAATTTATTTACATTTATGTTTATAAAATATATGCATTTACAAGGTTCCTCTGAGAATATTCACTAAATAATTGTAGCACCTATAAAATATTTATATGTGAAACCAGTGGAGAACACACGGTGACACAGAGCCATCTACTGAAAACACATGGATCCAATACTGGATGAGTGCATGTGTAAGGCACTTGGAGTTTGCCTTTATTCAGCCTTATTCTGTTTAGGAATAGGCAATATTTCGTGAGCCAATTCTGAAGCATATTGATTCCTAAGGGTCAGTGTAGCTTACATAATTTTATTTTATAATGTCCGTTATGTACTAAGTATACAAATTATCTTAAAGGTTAGGTTAATGTTCATTTTCTTTTAATTTTTTAAAGGTACATAAATATATTGTTTCTGCTACAATTCATTTTAGGCATTTGATCAGAAGAGTTTACCTGAGAAAGCATAAATAATTAATCTTTAGTTTTGATAATAAGTAGAAAAAGTAAAGTTGGGCAGCTGACCATATTTATAATGACCTGGATATCCAAAGACACATTGTATTATAGAATCAGCACTTGGACAGCTCTCCATGGTATCTTCTCAGTGCACCTTTAATCGTGGAAAAAAGGAGGACTGTAAATAGTAATGTAATAGAATTGCTGTTGCTGGACATAATAAAACCTACTGCATCTTTTTGACTCACGGAACTGAGTTTGTGTATTTCCCCATCAGCACCATATGCTTTTAATTTCTTGGCAAACTGCAAAGCAAAAATGTGATTGGAATTATTCTTTAATAATTTTTTTTCTAATTTCCACCCATTCTAAAATGTTTACAATTTATCTGCTGTGATTGGCCTCTTATCCACTCTTCATTCCTATGGCAGGTTCTGGCCACCTCTCTGAAGATTGGCAGCATGTTTTCCCTTCGTATCACTGTTGCAAACAAGGTACAGAATGTATGAACTTCAATTATTACATTCTGCATGTAATTAAATAAAATAGCAAAGGATCTCTGTATATATTTTCAATTCTACATTATAACATCTTTCAAAATAATGTAAGACCCAGAAAGAAATCATTTGAGAAGCACATCCAAATAGAGAGATAAGAATCTCTCTATGGTCTCTTTATAGTTCCCATTACACTTGGAATGAAATCGAAATCATTTTACATCCATGAAATCCTGGGTAGTTGTTCCTATCCATCACCCACCTTTTTTTTATCCCATTCTTTCCCAGATCACTGTAGACACATCGACCCCAGTCAATTACAGAATAGGCCAAGCTTTTTCCTATCATAGGGCTTTTGCATGGGCAAGTTCCCCCGCCTGAAATGTCTGTCTTTGCACATTTTACACAGCTAGTTCCTTTGTTTTGGTTAGGTTTTGCCTTAAATGTCAGCTCCTTAGGAAGACTGCACATCTACTCTGGCAAAAAAGAAAAAAAAGTAGTTCTTCCCTTGTATTCTCTTTCTTACTGCTTTGATTAGTTCCCTTTTGGACTAATTGCAGTCAACAACTACCATTTCTTTTGTGTACTTGGTTTTATTTGTCTTACCCATAAGAAAACATCTCTTTGATGACAAGGAATGAATGTATCTCATTCTTTCATCAATGTTTCTGCAATTTCAAGTATAGTCCCTAGACTCTTTTCAATATCCTCTAAACATTTATTAAATGTGTACATGCATAAATAAATTAAATATTTAACATACAGAAAGGTAGGCTAAAGGAGTACAATCTGGAGCTAAATGATACTCAATAGACAAATTTTAGTCTCAACTTTAGCATTAACTATTTATGAGATTTGGGTTCTCTGTCTTTGCCTCAGTTTCCACATCTATAAAAACAGAGAAAGTAACAGTTGGTCATGTTTTTTCAGGATGCTTTTATGAGGACAAATTGAGATAATGAATGTGAGGCACGTTAAAGTTTCTAAACGTTATACAAATGCAAAATAATTTCCCGACTTCATCTAAAACATAAATAAGAAAAGTGTTTGAATACAATTAGAGAACTAGGAAAAGTTTCAGCATATTTTATTTGTAGAGAAGTCGGTTCCCTTTCTTCCACATCCACAATGGTGAGGAAGATGGGAATCAGAAAACGACTGTTGATGAAGAGACAATCCAAGACCACGGGAAAGATTGTTTCACAGCATTTAAAGTACGTAAATTACATTTTAGGGCCCCATGGTAAGAGAAGGACAGGTTCTGCCCTCACTGTTGGTGATGCCTCGAGGGATTAATTCTCCTTTAAACAGAGGTGGGATAGATATAAAGTAAATCAGCAACAATACCTGGTGAAGGAGACTGTCTCATCCAAAATCAGGAGAAAGGGGAACATTAGAGCAACCGTCGTTACCTATTTTCTAGTTTCCTCTTTCATGTCTTCCCGATTCCTTCACAAACTGTGGCTAATTGATTATATTGCCTTTTAATTTTTAAATTCAGCCTCCCACCCCCACTCCCCTTCGCAGAGAGGGACTGGGGGAAGGAGGGATGGATGGGTAACCAGAACTAATTCAATACCCCTGTGATTGTACACTGGGAGCGTGCTGCTGTACAACAATATCGCCCTGGAGCTGCTTTATTTGTTTATCAATGAACATCCTACTGCGTCCCCGTCCCCGAGATGTAGGTCATCGGAAATAACCAGCCGCCGGTCACATGTGGTCTTCATTGTATTTCCAGACTGGGTGCGCTGCTGATTCCTGCAGAACCGGAGTGCTTCTGCGCTGCGTGAAGCGAATGAGACACCTGTGCCTTAGGGACGCAGGTGAAGTCCCATCCACCTTCCCGAGACTTTCCTTGGAGCTTTCCCACCCCCTCAGCGACTCATTCCTCATCTCCCCTTGCCGTCTTGGACCCGGTCCTGTCTGTTTAACGGGTGCTTTTCCCGCTCTTTCCCCACCTCCACACCTCGGCAGAAGACACAGAGGGCTCCACAGAACTGGGCATGCCTAACAACCAGGGAAGGCTTGGGCAGCGAGAAGAAAGCGTTTGCACCTTCTCAGCTCCCCTCCCTTCCGCAGCTGCCTCCCGCCAGTCAGGCGACCCGACGTGCAGCTCGGCCCAATGAGGACGCGCGGCCTTTGCGGGAGCCCCGCCTCTCCTGGCACAAGCACCAATGAGTGGTTGGCGGAGGTAGGCCAAGTCCTGTTCCCGCCTTTCCAGTTAAGGCCGCTGGTGTGAGCTGGCGCTCGGCGCGAGCGAGGGACGACGGAAGGGACCGGCAGGTGTGGGCTGGGGCCGCGCAGCCAGACGGCGGGAGTGGCAGGCGCTCGGTGCATGGGCCAGTGAGGGCGCGCGGAGATCCCCTCGCCGCGGCGGAGGCGGAGCAGCACCGGAGCAAGGCGCTGCCCGGCAACCCTGCGTCCGAGCGAGCGGAACCTCGCGCTTCGCCCGGGGACGGTCCGAAGTCCGCGCTATGGAAGAAGAGAAATATTTGCCTGAGCTGATGGCAGAGAAAGATAGCCTGGATCCATCCTTTGTGCATGCATCGCGCCTTTTGGCGGAAGGTAGGACTTGCCCCACCAAAGGGTAAAAATCCCGGGCTGCTCATCTCGCCCGCGGCTTGATTAGGGTAGTGAAGTTGGGGAGGGACGCCTGTTTCCGCCTTCGCAGAAACTGTCCCCTGAAGATGCTTGCTTCAGAGCTTGAGCGGACGGAGCCAGTTCGTAGGGCGGGCAGCAGTGCTTCTCCTCCTCCACGTCTTAATTGGGGAACACCAAAGCTACGAGATCTAATGGCAGTGGTGATGTGACCTGTTAGGATCATTAATAGAGAAACCATAAAAGGAACCATAAAGTATAACGCGATCTACAGAGAGATTTTCACTTCGCAGAGAGAAGGGAAATCAGTTGGGAAGTAAATGGTGATCAATGTAGTGTTCCTAGAGCTTCTCAGCTACAGATCAGTATTTTTTGTTTGTTTGTTTGTTCGTTTGCTGCATTTGGGAAGTGATGTTGATACCCTTTAATCAAAGTCTTTCCTGTGGAAAGTCTTAATATTAATCGAGATTAAATTATGCATGTTCTGTACGTATGTGAATGTGGTAAGCAGAGACTAAAGTGCTTACAGATTTATTTGAAGTGTGATGATTGGGTACTCTGCGAGATATTGGTCCCTGGGAACACTCCATAATTGAAGGGTAAAAATCCCGGGCTGCTCATCTCGCCCGCGGCTTGATTAGGGTAGTGAAGTTGGGGAGGGACGCCTGTTTCCGCCTTCGCAGAAACTGTCCCCTGAAGATGCTTGCTTCAGAGCTTGAGCGGACGGAGCCAGTTCGTAGGGCGGGCAGCAGTGCTTCTCCTCCTCCACGTCTTAATTGGGGAACACCAAAGCTACGAGATCTAATGGCAGTGGTGATGTGACCTGTTAGGATCATTAATAGAGAAACCATAAAAGGAACCATAAAGTATAACGCGATCTACAGAGAGATTTTCACTTCGCAGAGAGAAGGGAAATCAGTTGGGAAGTAAATGGTGATCAATGTAGTGTTCCTAGAGCTTCTCAGCTACAGATCAGTATTTTTTGTTTGTTTGTTTGTTCGTTTGCTGCATTTGGGAAGTGATGTTGATACCCTTTAATCAAAGTCTTTCCTGTGGAAAGTCTTAATATTAATCGAGATTAAATTATGCATGTTCTGTACGTATGTGAATGTGGTAAGCAGAGACTAAAGTGCTTACAGATTTATTTGAAGTGTGATGATTGGGTACTCTGCGAGATATTGGTCCCTGGGAACACTCCATAATTGATCAACTGTTTTACCAAGTGTGCATTTTCTTTTGTGTACCTGTAATGTTAGAGGAGATTCCATTCCCAGAGGAACATATATGTCTTATCTTTTCATTGCTTTGAAAGGTTGTTTTTTTTTAAAAAAAGACACACACAAACTTGTGTATAACAAAAATATTAACCAAATTATTCCATTTATGTTGAAATAATGTCCTCTGACTACTAAAGACACACACGATAATTTACACGAGCTTTTTTAAAACAACTGCAGATTTTTTGGATGAATGGTTCATTAATAATGAATTGCTTTATCATCAAATTGGCTACAATGCAGTTTTGTAGCTTGGGTTGTTACAGACTTATGTACAGCAAAACTAAAAGTGACAACTTCTTCTAACCAAGGCCTTTAGTATTAAAACAAACAAACAAAAAAAATTGTTTGAGACTTAGTTATAAGTGGAAGGAAAAATGCTGCTCCTCCATTTATGATAAAAGTAGGCATTCGATTTATTTTAATATTTTGTTAGTGGACTGTTGTTTATAAAAGAAATAACAGTAAAATAACAGTAAAGTATAAGGTAGTTCTTCCATATTTACATGCTAAACAATTAGGAAAAGGAAAATGCTGGTTTTGTAGAGTAATTGAGGAGGTAAAATACAATTATACTTACTACTTTTCTGGCTACTGAATGGAAAAAAGAAATTAAGTGCAAGAGCAAAGTCAATTAAAATATTAAATTATTGCGTCTACTTTGTTAAAAAAGACAACTGCATAAAAATAATAGGGATATTGGAAAATACTGAGTTAATAAACGCTTAAGATTGTTCAAAATGATTAGAAATGCAATTAAGCCTTCTTGAATAGTTTACTTCAATATATTTTCCAGAAGTGTCTTCGTTTAGTTGATAATGCCTTTAATGTACAAAAAAGTTATGGATTAACCATTTTCTCTGTCCTGTTAATTGGAGTTCTCTTTGGGACACCTAGTTCAATGATTAATTCATCAGTCATTAATATGAGTTATTGTACTTGAAAACTGTCAAATTAAAGGAATGAGTATGAGAAACCCAATAGAGTCCATGTGTATTTCTGTAGCTGGCAAAACAGCCAAAGAAAGCTATGCACCTGATTTCTTAACATTTTATCTTTCCCAGGAACTTGATTTCTTGATACTTAGGATCACATTATGGTATACCTTGTAATTTAATTTTTTCCCAGCAGGGGGAAGCATGTCCTGCTTTTGTAAAGAATAAGGAGGAAAAGCTCCTAAACAGAGTGAAAAGCATCTAAGTAAGAAACAAAGAGCTTGCCCAAATTTCAGAGAAATTATAATGAGGAAAAGATAATGGAGGAGGTGATAATAATCTTGGAGTACATAAAGAGTTATGCAAAAAGATGCATAGTGTTTAAATTACTTTAATTGTGCGTCAGACCCTTCTTATGTCCTTTTATTAAAGAGTATGAGGTGAGGTTTCTTTGGAATCTCAGTAAATCTTAATGTACATTTTACATAATAGATCGTTCATTACTTTTTCAAAGGCCATTTGCCAAGATTCCAGGTTCTGTTTCTGATCTCTATAGTTGAGTATTGTTGAAATGATTTTAATTCTCGTACCTAGAAATGCATGCACTGACTGAAGGCAGTGGCTATAAATAAACTGACATAGATGTTCATTTGGAAAGTAGGTGCACACTGAAGTACATTTCACTCAGCACTGTGCAGACAATGTCAAGCCTGAGTGAGTAATAAAAATGATCCAGATGATTCAGTTCTTTAGAATGATTTTCCGGAAGCTAACGTGTGTGTGTGTGTGTGTGTGTGTGTGTGTGTGTGTGTGTGTGTGTGCAGTGATATAAACCAATGAACTTTCACAGAGATTTATTTTGCTTTTTGATTGGGGATTGATGCAAATCAGTGCTCAGTTGCTACCACTTCACTTAGAATTGAAGGCTGTGGGGTTAAAAATACAAGCTTGGTTATTTTGTCTTACTGTAGTTTGTTTAATTTCACTTGTTTCTGCTGTGTGCTTTCAGTGGGAATAATTATGAGAAAGCTACTGAAAGCCCAGGCATTTTATGTATTTGATTGTTACTTAGAACAGATCTTGAATAATACAGTTGAGGAGTGTTTAGAATATGTTTGATTAATTAAAATAATTTTACTCTTGTGATTATAATGTTGTTTAGTTATCCATTTGTTATGCAAGGTGCTCTTGGATATGATAAAACAGCAAACTCAGCATGATCCTTAAAGTTCTACTCAGCGTCTGAATTTGCTTGCCAGATGAAATTACATGAGGTTATTTATATCTATGCTACTTCTGGGAAGTGCAATAAACTGTGAATCCAGATACCTGGGTTTTAATTCCACTTTTACCTAAACTAAATCTTGGTAAGTTCTCTTTCTGGGACCTAGTTTCCAATTAAAGAGTTGGACTGGATCATCTGTATTTTTCTTTACAATTCTAATTAAGTCTCAGACTACTGCTGATGCAAAGGAGTGATGTTTGTGTATTCAGGACACAGAAATCAATGGTTTCACATTTTTGAAACTTTTTTTATTCTTCCTAGTTTAATGATTAATAATACATTTATTCCACTTTAATGTAATTTGAGGCATATACATTACATTATTTTGAGCACTGGAGACAGATTTATGTTCTTAATTCTATTGAACTATTATCAAGACTTGGGGCCAAAAATGTATGTACATAGAAATATTCTTTTTTGCAGTCGAGTATGACTGTTTGCTCACAGACATAGATCTGCTCAAATTTATAAATTCAGTGATGGTAATTGCATACTTTTAGGAGTATTAATAAATTCTCATCCAATTGAGAGTGTTTGGGGCAAGACTTCCTGGCTTGAATTCTTCACAAACATTTCTAGATTCATCACTGTTTTGGTTGACTCATCATATGGTAAAGCCAAATATTGTCAAATATTACAGTAGTTCAAATGTACTATTTCAAATTTTGGTGAAAAGGTTGGCCTGCCATCTAGGATTGGCCTTCATTTTTTCCAGATGTAGAGAAACTCATTAAAATGAGAAAAATAGGGACTAATATTCAACACAAATGATAATTTGTAGTGATTTAACTACATTTAGATTCACATGAAGCTTGATAGGTTTTTAAGTTAAGGAAAGTAATTGATATAATGTCTAAAACCAGCTTCTGATAAAAAATAGTGTTCATATGACTCTTTAAAGAGACTTTTCTTTTGATTAATATATTTCTTTTTTCTCCTAATAGATTTGGTAGAATCTTATTTATGTTTCTTTAAAAAGGATACACTGGCAAAAAAATTAAATTCAAGTTATTTTTGATCTACAATTAAAACAAATCTGTGACATAGTGAAAAAATTCTACTTCAGCAAGCAAATAACTTTGGATTGAATATTGGCACTTATACCTACTATGAAAGGTAGGGTATATCTTTTTTTTTTCTTTTTTGATACTCAGTTTCTTCATCTGTAACACAGGGAAAGTAGTACCTACAAGACAGGTTCTTTTAGGATTAAAAAATTCTGCTTATAATAATATAATCAGTACTTTATATAAGTATAATAAAAATATAAGCAGAATTATACAAATGTAAAAAATGCTTTTAAGATTTTCCTTAACAATGTAATATCTTTATACATTTGAGTTCAGTCTGAAGCTAGCCTTGTAAGAAAATAAGCACTGCCTTGTTCTTTGAATCACTGCTGAGTTAAATTTAAACTCATAAACCAAATTATGAAATAAATTATATTATAGAAAATTATTCGTTGAGAGTTTTTAAAATATCGTGTTCCCTTAGTGAATGGTCACTTATCAGTCTTTACCATGAGCTTGATCCTATATCTTTCAAAGACCTCCTCAGACTTCCTCTTAAACCCACATATCTATCCTTCACTCTCAGCAGGTGATTTCACCAAGTCTTTTATTGAGGGGAATGACTATATCTCTTCTGGTGTTCCTCAACTTCCTGTCTCTTAAAACTTTCTGTACCCATCCTCACTGTCTTCCATTCCCAGAAGATCAAATGTTTCTTTTGTGTTCAAGGTTGACTTGGCCACCCGTATCCTTGATCTAATGCTCTTCATCTTCTCTGTACTGGTTCAATAGATATATCCCTTCTTCTGTGTCTCCAACTTCTTCTCTATCTACTATTTCTCTGTAGCAGCCTGTCAACATGATCCAATCTAAGTATCTTGAAATAAAGAGGAAAATTGTTTCACTTACCAAAAGTAATGAAAGTAATCTCTGTTGACATCCTCCCTCGGTTCCTTCAAGTTTCTGATAATATTAGTCTGTAATAGCTGTCTCACTTTCTTTTTTTTTTTTTTTTTCGTGACCGGCAATGGATCGCAACCCTGTGGATTAAGGGCACTTCCGGTTTTCTTCTTGACCTTTCCACTACTACAGCATTGCAACATGCAATTCCGCTTTACCTTGTCTGTCTCTGTCTCTAAGTTCGAGGGGCAGAACTGTGACTTTTGTCTCTGAATCCTTAATGCCTGCCTTAATTCTCATGTATAGAATGATTTAATAAATGTTTATTAAGTGAATAATGCTGACCTCGTATCTTTCCTTTCTCCTACTATGTGTTGAGAGGTATCTCCAGAAATAAAATTCAAGGAATTCTGTCATTGTTTAATTCAGTCATATTCTATCTTTGCTCAATTCAAAACCACAAGGGACCACTTTGAAGGTCTCCATTCTTTTTTTAAAAAATCTTTTTATTTTGAAATATTTATACATTTGCAGAATGTTGCAAAGATAGTACAGAGAAGCCCTGAAGTGCTCTGACAGTCCCTGAGAATCTGTCCATTCGTTTCTTTGTTTTTTTGATTGGGTATTTTCTGTTCTTTTTTTAAGTTGATTCTTTCCGCTTCCCTCTCACTGCTGCTGCTGTGCCTATCCCACTGAAATTTTTAAAATTTCAGTTACTGTATTTTTTTAGTTCTATACTTTCCATTTAGTTCTTTTTTATACCTTCTATTACTTTGCTAAGACTCTGTTTTTTCATTTCTTTCCGGCATGCTCCTGATTACCTGTGGAAGCATTTCTGTGATGGCTGCTTTAAAATCCTTATCACATAATTTCAGTGTGTGTATCATCTTGGTGTTGGCATCTGTTGTCTTTTCTCATTCATGTTGAGATTTTCCTTGGTTTTTATACATGACATGTGATTTTCAATGGTGTCCTGGACATTTCTGGTATTATGACACTCTGGATATTATTTAAACATTCTCTGTTAGCAGACCTTCTCTGGCATTGTCAGCAAAGGGAGAGGGGGCACCCGTCCGGGTGGAGGTGAAAATCCAGGCTCCCCAGTAGACATCTGCTGACACCACTCTGGCTGCGTGGCAGAGGAGAACCAAGTTATTGCTCCTTTTGTGGCCTATACTGACTCCAAGAGGGGCAGGGAGGCCTCATTCCTGTTGGGTAATGGTGAACGTTCCATTAAGAATGAGGCCTCTTCTCATGCCACACTGGCTTGGAAAGAGAAGGGTGCGTTGTTATTGCTGAAGAGGGTGAAGTTCAAGATCTCCATTTGGTCTCTACTGACACTGCGGAAGGCCTCTTCACTGCTGGGTGGAAATGACGTCCCACTTCCCCATTCAGTGTTCTCTAGTACCACCCAGATGGGGAAAGGGTGCCTGGGAAGCTGGGTGAAGTTGGAAGTCTGGGCTCTCTGCTTAACCTTCTTCACAGTGGTGAGTCTCTACTGACACTGCGGAAGGCCTCTTCACTGCTGGGTGGAAATGACGTCCCACTTCCCCATTCAGTGTTCTCTAGTACCACCCAGAGGGGGAAAGGGTTCCTGGGAAGCTGGGTGAAGTTGGAAGTCTGGGCTCTCTGCTTAACCTTCTTCACAGTGGTGAGCCACAATTTTTTTGTGTGTTGTTTGGCTGGAGAAGGATATTTGTCATCTAAAAGTTTTCTGTTTTGCTAAGTTGCCCTTTTTCTTATATTTTGGCTTGAGAACAGACTTTTTTTTTTTTTTTGAGGCGTTTTGTTTTGTTTTGTTTTTGTTTTCGTCCACTTCTATTAGTGTTTCTGTATTGACAACTTTTCAGCACCCAGTCTGGCAAATGTGAGACACAAGAAAATCTAGGGGAACCACTGACATGTTATTCATGGGTCTTGTGGTACCCAGTCAGTCTGTCTTCTTCTTTCCACCTTCCAGAAAGTCTACTTGTGTTTATTTTGTATAAAATGCCCAGTCCCCTTTCATTAGTATGTTGTAATTTATTTCTGTACAAATTTTTCTTATGAATATATGTTAGGCCTTGTACATTAGTATTTCATTAACTAGTTTTATAAGAATGAGCATGACCGGGATACATCCATCTGGATAATGGGCACAATATTTTTTCTCTATATATCTTATTTCAAGTTTTCTTGTGGCACATTGCCTGAGAATGGGTACAGAACTGATCATTATTCTCAGTTTCTTCTTAAGTATGCAGTCTAGAGTGAAGCTCTTTTTTCCCATAGCAGCTGTAGAAATGAGGTTTAGAGGTAGTTTTTGAAACTGGGAGCCCTTGGAAATAACTGTGTAGTATCATTAGCTTTCCTTATGTATTTGTTTGAACATTTGATTTAATCTGTCTCTTTTTATGCCTGTATTTAAGAAATGTATCTTAACTGGATTGTATTTTGATACCAGTTTTTCTTTTAAAGCTATAAAGGAATGTTAAGATTTAATATACTCACAGAGTGAAATATGGTCCTTTTTCTCACAAAATGGTGAATTCCAATAAAATAAGTATAATCTGGAATTTTTTTAAAGATAAAATACTGGTTAATAGCTGATCTTCCAAGTTAATGTTAACAAATATCCATGTTATATGACTTACTCATTTTCTCAAGTGGCGAGTTCTGTCATAATTGTATCTTTTATTTGTCAAATACTTGATAAGTCATTGCCAAGCATCATGTAGTGGGGGAGGAGGGGAAAAAAGTCATTTTTAGCACATCTACCATTGCTTACCTTTGCCTCATGAACACTACTTCCAAAAATATTTTGAAATAGAGAGAGATAATAAACATTCAAGAACACATGAGTGATAAAAGTTTTAGGCTATGTACTTATAGTTTGGCTATAGTTTGGATGATGAATTCTGTTGGGCTAGGGCTGTACTGCATTTGACCATGCAATCACACTTGCCCGATGATAACACCTGTCTGTAATATGTGCTATTAATGTATGAGGAGGTATCAGATGTTTAGTTAGGAGGTTTATAATCTGCTGGGGATTATATATATATAATGGAAAGGTCTGCTAGGTTTTACATGAATTTTAGAGACTGATCATTTCATAGGAATTTAGAAGAGGTTCTAACTCTTGTTGGTCATGGTATTTAGAGATTTATTGTCATTATCATGATCATCATCATTGCTGTCAACATTTCCTGAGTTTACTTTTTGCCAGGCACTGTACCAGATACTTCGCCTGCATTGCCACAATTAATCCACCTACCAATTCTACGAGATGGTTATCAGCATTAACTTTAGGAATTAAGGCTTAGAGAAGTTAATCTCAGGTCATACTGCAAATAAATTGGAGAGCTAACACCCGTGGTTTTTCACCCAGATGCCATGTTTAACAATTACTCGAGACTGCATCCTTTGGAAGGCTTTGAAGGAAGGCAAAGTTTTTCCGGAAGAGCAATATTACTGCCGTTAACTTCTGAAACAAGTTCCTGTATGTACATATTGGATGAATTATTATACAATATTGTAAAAGTCAAGTAAATTTATAAATTGGGGAATTTATCCAAATACAGAATTGAGTTATTGAGACAGCCTACATTTTATGAATGTCTTACACTGACTGTTGTTTCCTACAGAGTTTAGTGATGTGGCGGCAAGGCACAGGGGAACTTTTCAGACTCTCTTTTTCATTCAGAAAAGGGTTGAAGAACTTTGTGTGATTTACTGAGGCATTTTCCTTTCCATGTTTTTTAGAGAACTGCTTACATTTGCTGAATTCTTCTGGAAACGAACTGTAGGTTCTTTCTTGTGTCTTGAGGCAGTATGGGTTTTGTTATCATTTGGAAGTGAGAAGATTTCACATTTGGTCAGAAACAGATAACTTGACGACATGGCTTGATTTAAATGTTATCTGTAGGTTCTAAGGTTTTAGGATTTAATAAGTTTGAAACAGATTGGCTGGTGTTATTGTACTGTTATCAGAAATGGTGCAATTGATGCCCATTTCCTTTAAAACATTAAAGATTAGATTTTACTCTTCTTATAGAATAGCAGAATAAGTGTGTTTTCTCTAGAGTGTAGATATTTATAGTAGGTTCATAGAATTGTATGTTAGATAATGATGGGCCCTGACTGCAGCTCAGGAGAGGGAGCCTCTGTGGTGGAAACACAGTATAGAGGCTGAAGGAGAAGAAATTTGT